AATGTTTGGTCACTTTTAGCATATACATCATACAGTATCCGGTCTAAATTATTTTGAGAAAGAACAAAATTCTTGTGTTCGTCTCTATTGATGGCAAATTTTTCGTGTTTGCCAGTCTCTGAATTCACTGTCGGGTTAGTATCAAGACAATGGTACCTTTGATCTAATATTTTGTTAAATGTATTTGATAAAATTTTGATTAAAATGGTTACTCTTAATCTTATTTTATCAGTTATTGTTTCGCATTTGCTTATAACAATCTCTTCATGTTTCTCTAAATCCGTACCAAAATCCTTTTTTCATGGGTCTTGAATTGTCCATGGGCTACAAATGTGTATTACAAAAAACCAATAAAGGGAATACAAATCGGGAATAACCCAATAATTAATGAAGCCCAAAATATTCGTCCAAAATCTTCTTCGAGAGATGATGCTATAACTGCAGTATTTTTGTTGGTCCATAAAATTGGTTATAGCTTATACATGGTTACTCTTTTTGTAAATGTAACGTATAATAAAACAGTTTTTACAGTAAAAAAACAATAATATTGTTTAGGTCCTTGATCAAAAGATTGAAAGCTTCTCCACATCAAGAAGTTAGGGACTTCAAACTCCAAAATCTTTAGAAATTGTGGCAAATTGTGAATTCAAATCTTAAAAGACTAACTATGGTTTAGGATTTGAGTAGTTCGAATGTGATCAATTCCGTTTTGAGGATATCTAGTTACGTATGTTGTATGTATAGTTTGTCTACAACAAGTTAAAACACAAAAAGAAGAAGTTAAAACACGACTCTGAAAAGTCGTTTTCTAATTAGTTATTTTTGATAATTAGTATGAACCTTGGATAATGATTAGCGATTGTAACTTGGCCGGATTCTACAAAAAGTCTAACTTCCGTAATCCATGTCAACCAACCATATATAATATATCGAATCTTCTGATATATTGAATAATCTAATCAAAACTAGTGATTACATTCAAAATTAATTATGAGTTGATAATCATTACACTACAAGAAAACAGTCACTATTCCGACGGCCAATATTTCCGTCGGAATTTTCCGACGGCTTACCGACGGATTTC